TACAGCCTTAAAAAAGATAGAAATCAAAAATTAACAAGGAAAGAACAACTGAGGTCACCACGCAGTTTAGATGCAGTGAAGAGATGCATGAAGAGAATGGATTCATTTCCATATGAAGTAAAGACATTGCTGAACACAGCAGCAAAGCCAGCATTGGCAAAGAGAAGGGGTACCTAACCCAGCTGAGGTGAAAACAGACCTGACAGAGCTCAGTACTTTGGAACTCTTGAAAGAACAAAAGCATGAAATCCATACATTGACAAAAAGCTTTTGACATTTTTCTTTCCACTTCAGGCTGATGTAGTACTTATTTTAAAAATTTAGTATAAAAAAACCTTCATGTTTTACTACCTATGCAGTACTTGTGTTTTAAGAAAGGAGAAGGAAAGCTACTCCATGCAGCCACAGGGATCATTCAATCTTACTTTAAGAATATATAAGGCTTTGCTTAGTCTTTTATTTGAAAGCTGTTCTAAAAGCATCAAAGTAAATGGAAAAAGGAGTAGAATACAATACCTAAATATAGACTAGACCGCTATTTTTCCCCAATAAAAATTACCGGATTTCACAGCCTCAAGTGGGATGACCATGGTTATTAAGAAAAGGAAAACTATCAAGGTCGGATAAAAGCAGCTATAGCGGTTTCTCAATAATCAATCTTGGGAACTACCTTGTTTTTTTCTATTGGAATTCTTGGCAGAGGAAAATGCATGGCAATTAAATATGACATAATAATAGGAGACATTGTCCATACAAGGGAGTATCAGGTTATATGACAGGAAAAATTGGAAGATTAACAGAATAGGAGAAACAAAGGAATTGGGAGAATAGCCAAAACTATGGATTATTTAACTAGAATTACTCAAAAACTGGAAGACTGCCATTAAACCATACCTCAGTAAGGATCTGATCCAGAATTACTCTTGGCAGTCCCAGTCACCCAAGTTCAAGAGAGATGAACCACCCCAAACCGCAAGGAGGCACAGAGAAATGTGCCTGGCATGGCCAGGGTACTGGAGAGTCTATCACATTGGCAGAAAACCAAGACAGCTTGGCCTGGCAAGACAAGGGTTGCACTATATTCTATGCAAAAAAAAAAAAAAAAAAAAAAAAGAGTAATACCAGAGGAACAGAAAGATTCTGCAACAACCCTCCAGAAGCAGCAGCAGGACAAAAATTCCTCCCACAATTTGTTTCTTGATTTTATAAATGGAACTGTACACATAGCATTGCATACAACAGCAGGGAATAAAGTGATCCTTAAGGTCCACTCCAGACCTACCTGGCTTTATTGCCACACACCAGAGGCAACCATCCTACTGTCATCAGTGCTTCCTAGCACTTGGTCTGGACACAGGACATAAGTGCTATAAGAAGCTGAGTAGAAACTAGGCAAAAACAAGATCAGAGTTCAAAATGCTCCTACAGTACTCTTACTTGAAGGTAGGTACTCAGAAATTATCACTCACAGTCCATAACTTAAGACAGCTCCTATTTAGGAGCTTAGCATTGGCATGGACACCAGGAGTACCCACTTGGCTCAATTCCAATTAATCCTGATTAAAAAAATTCAACCTGCAACTCCATCATCTCCTACAGTCAAATTGGACTACAACAAAATGACACACCCATGTCTGAAGACTTAACAAACTTGAGGAACACCACCGAATACTGCAGTGTATTTGTACAAGCAACTCAGCAGTACTGCAACCATGCCTCCACAAATGTGAAGCAAAGGGAACACCTTTGTTTCCTTTACAACTTCAAATCAAGATACTATTATTACAAGGAATTCTGTTGCCACAGTTGTCCCCAAGACATTTGGAAGGTCACTTAAAGATGTGCAAAGAGGGATGCAAGAAACACATTTTCGCCTCTGACACAAGATTCTCTCGATGCAGATTCACATTACTGTGTGACACACAACCTCTCTGGAGGTGACCCAAGACTCTGGAATGAACTTTTGCAGGAATTAATGATCATTAGAAATCTTGCTATGTTCCACCTAAATAGTTAGGCATCTCTTATTTTCTGCCCAATTTGTGTTTCATAATACAAAATCCTAGTTGCATGAATATTTCTCGAAAAAAATTGCATATTCCTGCCTCTGTGAAAACACGATGAGAGAGAGGTAATGATCACACTGCTTGATGGGACAAGCAGAGGCATTACAGCGATAAGGAAAGCATCAGAGCATCCATGAAACGGAAGAGATTCACTAACAGTCGCAGTGAAATTTAATCTTTACCTCAAGAACGCAGAGAAGTTCTTCCACATATGCTCGTTCAGTCTCAATAAGTTCATTAATCACATGCCTGTAGACAAAGAATGACAATTAAGGCAGGCCTATTCACTTATGCAAAGTAATGAGGCAACATTAACTTTGTGTTTCTATTTTACCTCAGACAATAAAAGAACAATTTCCAGGTAATTAAAAATGTGATGTTTCATGGATATTTCTGTCAACAGCTCCTTATTGAAAAGCATGTATTTTTAAAACATTTAAACATGTTTGTATGTTTAAACAGCAAAAAAGTCAACTCTAGGATTTTAAGTGCTGTAGTAACCACATTGAAGTAGTGAAGCATTTTATCATTGTACATACAAAATCCGGTTATGCTGTGTTCGCAAGTATTACAGGAGCTGGAGTTAGAGCTGCATAGGATAATGAAATACAGGCTTAGAGTTACACTGGTCATTTTAAATTACAAGTATTTAGGGCACATCTTAAATATCACAATGCTGCTTTAAGTTTAATTTCCCTAATGGTCAAGCAAGCATGCTTCCTTCAAATCCCCTCCCCTTGTGATTTTGTACAATTTAACACGTGGCTGTAACAGCGAAAGGACAGTAGAAGTATTCAGTTTACAGGTAGAAATGCAAGCTCTGCTATACACATTGCAGGTGGTACTAAGTTCTTTTTGAATTTAAATGATGATGTTTAGTTTTTATATAAGCAAGTGATTTTTCATAACATTAAAAAGACAAAGTCACCTGAGCATGGAGACCAAAACCTCTGATAGATTTACAGGAGGCTTGTTACTCAAAACTATGTCATCTCCAAAATGAAAATATGTAGTTATCCTGCCATAGCATCACTTTGCAGCAGCAAAGCTGGAGTCTGGTACTATATGAACTATAAATAATGCTGCAAACAGACTGAAATCTCTTCCTCCTATGTACAGAGCATAGCCAATGCATTTCAAAAAGCACTGAGTCTCAATTCAGAGAGACATACTTGTCTTATCAAATCCTTAGCCAAACTCAGCCTTTGCTGGAACTGAATCAGAGAAAAAGCATTTTTTGTTTATCAAAATATACTTACTGCCGCAACACAGCTAGGTTTTCTTCATCATCCATTGTAGATCCTCCTCTGCTTTGATGGAGTTCAGTCATTTCACTCTAAGGAAGGAAACAAAGAAACAACAGAAAAGTCATTACAGTATCACAGATGGGGGAAGAACACTTTAAAATACAGAGCTTTGCACTCAGCTCTACTTGCATGTGTTTTCACAGGAAAGACTCTACTCCATTAAAAATGAAGGCAATTTGCAAGAAAGCTGCAAAAAAATCCAAGACGACCTGAGGGTCTTAAAGCACACAAGAACATTTAGACACAGGGAGCTCTCCAAGAAAGGCCAGCTTAGAAAAGACTGTGGCTCGAGGCCCCTTTCCAGGAAGACAACATCAGAGCATCAACATAATCTTGGAGACAACGCTGGCCTTAGCCTGTTTTCCAAGCTAAAAATGAGGTACTGTGCTAACTTTCTGGTAACTTCCTAACTGGACACAGAAGTTCACTCTTACAACTTCTCAGCTGACCTAATTATGGCTTGCTGAAAAAAAAGAGAGGTTCTGCTTTCAATCCGCCCCCTTGAACCAACCCTTTTCTCCAACGGTTGTCCCTACTGATCATGTGGTCTTGCCTTCCTCCTTGCATTGTCTGTTGCTGAACCTTCACTGAATTGATTCAGCTCTCTAACCCAGTGAGAAACTATTTGTTTCTGTTGCTGCCGTCAGGATACTTTCCTTGCCGGAGGCGGAGCAGGAAGACCATCCCCACTTGGGAATGGCAACCCATTAGGTCAGGTGAAGCTGTCTTGGAGCCAACGACAACTACCTCTTCACTTTCGCCAGTTTTAAGAGTAGCCAATTACTACTGGCAAATAATAAATGTTTCCTGTTCATAGATTTTATATTTTGCTCCCCCTAACATTTTTCCTAATATAGGCAACTATTTACCTTCCCTCATACCCAGCCCAGCGACAAAGCAGCCTCTATTTAAACCATGACTGCTTCACCAGAGTTCTTCGATAGGGGCAATACCATCACTTTTTCAGTGGAATTGCCTCATTCTTCTTGAAGTTCCTGAATATTCCATTGTATTATGACTTTCTTAAGCAGTATGTGCATGCAAAGCGCAAAGAAAAAAAATTACCTTTCCTCGTCTGTAGTTTACCCTCCGAAGCGCACTGCTTTCCGAGTTGGATACGTATTCTCTTTGAAGACCTAGGCACGTAAACCAGAATCAAACAGCAGTTAGAACTTGAGCAGATCTGACACAGATGTTTGTGCAACCACAAATTACAGCTGAAAGTTTCTTTAAGTTTCTCAGCATAGAGCAAAAAGATTAGTTAAAGGCTACTACAGTTACTTACCTGGAGAGGTACAAGGAGATTTTACAAAGGCTTCAGGTCTTGGTGCAACTGGCTGAACAGGACGTGTCTGCTTAGCTGCCAGTTTCTTAAGGCTTACTTGTCTCTTTTGAAACATTTCTTCCATACTTTCTTGCTTCTGGAAAACCTTTTGCACATGCTCCTAACGTTGCCACAGAATTAAAAAAAAAAAAAAAAAGCCAAAAAACACACAACCCCTGTCAGAGACCTATCAACAAGCTATGCTGCCATTTACAGCACATTGATTTGAAATTGCAATTGCTTTTACACCACGTAGAGAAATATTGCCCTACTCTTCACTCCTAATATGGCATAATTTACAGTCATTTAGTACACTTAAAAATTGGAACATCACTTCATAAAACATCTTGTGTGCTTGCTGTAGAGAAACGAATGGGGGTCAGGTTTCAATTTAAAAAAAAATAGGGAAAAGTTTTCTTGACAGTGTCTAATTGTTCTGCTACATGAAGAGATCAAACATGAGGAAAAGGGACATATTCTCAAGTTCTAAAAAACCAAACCAAAGCAGAAGTCATATAAATATCAATGACAGGCACATTTTTGCTATGTAAAAAAGATACTTCAAATATTCACTAGGGAGAAGTTTTTTTTAAAAGCACTCCTACTATCTGAAAAATTGAAGTAGTTATTAAAAGGCTCTGAAGCCCTTGAAGCTTATCCAAAGATATGACAGGACTAGCACCTCAGGTAGGGAAATGTGTTGGCTTTCCAGTTCACGGGTATAACTCCTATTTAGCTTTATCAATGGCCATGCAAGAGAGCAATTCTAAAATTTACAAATGGACACATAGATACAAATAAACACCTTCTGGTACCTTTAGGTCTTCATTGAGGATGTGTGCATACTCTCTGTATATTTTATTCAACTCCTTGATTTTATTGCCTGCACCAGTGTCCAGGAATTTCTCAATCTCCTGTAATGCTGATTCTGCACCATCCTGAGACTGACACTTATCTACCGGCTGTGAAGCCAGCAGATAAATTCCTTCATCGCACCACTTCATAGACTAGAAACAGAAAAGAAGAGACTCAGAATGCACCGATGTTAGCATCAAACACTAAGAGGTCTAAAACATTTCATACCTCTACTTGTGATGTATTCAGATATGTAAGGAGAAAGCTTCCAGCACACACAGATATTTTTACCTGCCCTTGTGACAACTGGTTGACTGAGGTGTTAGCTAACGAGATAGGAAAAAGAATTGTTCCATACAAAATTTACCTTTTCTAGTAAGCCATGCAATTCTAGAGATTTGTTAAGAAGATTCCTCCTCCGTTCTGTCTCAGTAGTGAAGGCATCACAGAGATGATGAAGTTCACTGCATTTTGGAATAATGGAGTCCACAGCATAATGATTGCTTTGAATAAAAGCATCACCCTCTGAGGCTAGCATTCTGGCTTTTGCTATTGTTTCCTAAGAAAGCAAGCATTGATTTAGGTACATCTTTCCTTGGATCAACATCAATGAAAAAAATTTAAAATTATACCATTTGTTTTTATGTAATAAAATACACGTTCATATAGAATACATCTTTCGCTAACAGCTGCCTTGCTTAATAAATCAAAGTGATTTCCTGTCTTCCCAGATGCCCAAGAACTTTTATCCCTTCTTCTTTATTGTATCAGAGTACTTCAGAAACATTAATGAGTTTAATCATGTGGCCACTGAAGTGTGAAGGAACCACTATTAGTCCTTTTATGCCTTACTTATTGAGCAGTGTGTTTGTGTGTGTATGTACGGAATTTGAAGTACAGCAGTAATCTGAACCCAAATAAAAAATACCTAACTCCGGGACCTCAGCCTCAAGAGCAACGACCTCACTTACAGAGCTATATATTTTATTGTGAAGCACAGATCATAAGAAGGTTCCCTTTTTACATTGTTCAGAGTGTATGTTTCTGTTGGTCATCTTTTAACATATTGTACATTCAATACACAGCCTTCTAATTTCTGAGTTTTAATGAAGTAAGTGGCTGTAATAGGAACGGAATTGGCCCCTTGATCACTAAATGCAGAGTTTGGCTATGTAGATACTTCATGAAATTCTTCCACGAACTGATCACACCGACTTTGGGACTGGTCACTCTGCTCCTTATTGAAGGATGCTAGAGAACTGGGCCACTCAAATGGTTAAAAACTTTATTCCAAATTCCTTCTGCACATTACTTGAGACACTGATTCTGCCCTACTGTCAGCTTAAGCTCTGCTCATAAGATATACTCAATAACCAAATACTGTTCCCCTCCACAACGCATCGTCGTACTAGAAATGAAGGAGACTTGCGGAGTTCTTACACATGATTTTTCTTCAAAGTTGGCAAGATCTTTCAAAATGTGCTCTGCATGTGAACAGCTGTTTCCCACATCTGTGAAAGCAGACAGTCTGTCGGACACGATATCCAAAGCTCCTTTGACCTGAAATGAGACACAGCTATGTATCAATGAAGATGAGATTCTATGATTCCACCTCTCTGGAGGCCCATAAGTTAAACAGCTGATGGCCTCTCTTTCCAGTCAGGTGATTCACATTATGGGGTTACTGGAGCACAGAGACAAATCATTTTTTTGTCAGCCTACCTTTACCCCCAATACAAAATTAAAACAAATACAAAGAAAAGGGAGTGAAGTAATCTTGTTTCCTGATACTGAAACAAAAAAATGCAGGAAAACTAACGTTCGGAAACATTTATGATCTGGTTTTTACCAGATGACAATAATACAAAGCGACATTAACATAAACAGCAAAACATGAGGAAGAGGTCCTCACCCTAACAATTGGTTGAGAGACAGACATACAGACAGACAGACACACACATTTGTAAGAGGGTTTCTGAGTGTTGCTCCCATGGAGACACAGGGGCTGTGCTCCGAGATCACTACACCAGAGTAAAGTGACTATAGGTGCCATCAAGCATATGAGTTAAACTAACATGAGATCAGAAACTGGCTGTAAGAATTTTAGTTCAGCCTCCACCCAGCTTCTAACATTGTGGTTGCAACTTCCCACCCACAGTGTTGGAGACTGTTTTATAAAATTTCAGCCAGAAGCTTTAGGTAAGTCTTGGTTCCATAAAAGGGCCTACTGGCAAGATGAAAGCTTTGCAGACAGCATATTATGCTTCTGTGGTGGTGAACAGGTTTCAAAGGAGTTTTTGAATGCTTACACACTGCTGGGCCCATGGAAAAGAAAATCATAAGACTGCAGAAGAGAAGCTATTATGTCTCTATAGGCAAGTATTCAAGGTAGTAAAGATAGCAGGATGTCAAGTAAGGACACGTACAAGAAAAAGGTTGGAGAAAGCTTTCATGCACACACAAGAGCTGCAAAAACAAGAGGGGGAAGTATTTTCTTCTGCGTCTGTATTACCAAATATTAATTGCCACCAAGAAGTTCTCACCTCTCTGAAATTCTGTTCAAAATTCCGAAGGCGCAGACACTGCTCAAGTTTTTGCTGATGCTTAATCCAAAACTCATCAAAGGCAGTCTCCGTTTCATGTAATTGAGCCAGAAGCCTTTAAAAAAAATTAAAGAAATACTGTAAGACTAATGGGTGCAACCTTTAAGGGACAATGCAATCTTCCACAGTAAACAAAAGGCCTCCCCAAAGCAATATTTTCCAGAAAAAATAAACTGGATACAGGAAACTTTTTTGAGTATTGCACAGAATTGTTTCCTAGAATAACATTGATGTAAAACTGAAACCCAACACAAACATTAAGTTCTGTAAAATTGGCAAGTGCTGATTTGAAGCTAGCTGCTGCACATACTACTGCTCAGCTCTGGCCTGGGGACATGGGGACTTGGGGCTAGCAAACATAAGTAAAACATGCAAATGTGTGTGGGCTAGGACTCAGAGGAACCCAAGCCTTGGGCTATAAAGAAAGAAGGAAAAAAATTGTACTGCTGTGACCAGCCAGCTGCCCTTACATTTCATTCGTTGGAGCAAGGCTCATAATAAACCTGAAGGTCATTGCTCTTCCTCTTCTGAGCAGCGTTACTACTTTAACATCACAGGCAAGTGTACAGCACTACTGTGATGAAAAGAATCTTCTTCAATTATAATTTTGGCCAACGTCTTAAAACTTTTAATTTTCAACTTAGCTTCCAATATTGCATTTGACAGTATAGTATCCTATGGACTTACCTTTACAGTGCGCTTTGCTGTACCAAGGCTACATCCAGGGAAGGCCATACATGAGAATTTTAATGAATTTTTGTCTTTAATAGCACACAAATGAACCCTGAATTTACAAGTTAAAACCAATTACAAAAAAAAAGCAGGGACACACACACACACAGAGTTCTTTCCAACTTCCAACAATTACCAAAAAAAGTGACTTCGGCCAAGCTTTGTGGATTGGAATGGACAGTTATTTGGAAAGAAAAGTCAGCCCGAGTGTAACAGAAACACAGAATGACAGACAAAAAAAGAATGCAGAATGCTGCCTAGGGGAAATGAGTTATGCTTTCATAGCTTTGTGCAAATTTACATCTGTGCTATGATGATATAATGTCTTCAAACCTGGCAGTAATTTAAGAGCAGGGGGTGGGCGGGGAGCAAAGGAAAACAACATCTATTACTTATATGTCCAGAGGAAGCATATAGGAAGTTTGCACATAGATACTTCAAGAGTGGCGTACACGCTAGTAGCCCTTTAAAGGCTACTAATGACATTTATAAGATATCAGCAATGTTAGAAGCTCCTCTGGGCAGGTTTAAAGAAACCTTCCATTCAATTCAGAAGGATTTAAGGGAAGTGGACAAACCTACTGAAAAGAAGGGATATATCACTTCTGTCTTCCCCTCCGGCTGTCCCTACAGCAGAGAAATTTGCTTGGATTGCACTTTATTTTAAAGAATATAGATGCTTTGTTTAGAGACTAAAGAAAAGCTGCTCAACTGTATAGTCTAAATCTGACAAAAAGGAAAAAATTATAAGTGTTTCTTTCTTGGTACTGGAACTCAAACCGCATCCCCTATTTCCTTATAGCCCGGTGACCTGGCAATGGACATCAGGAGATTACTTTGCTCAGGACAGATCTGACAGAAGAGGAGTTGTTTCCGAAAGTACGTTTTATATGTTCACATTGTAAGATTTGCTTATTTGCTAAGCATGCATATGGAACTAAGTAAAAGAGCTGGGGAGGGGTCAAAGACACAGAAATGCAGCATGTTCAGTATTTTGCTCCTCTCACCTTTCTACCGTTGTTTGATTGTCTAGCTGATCTTGATTCAGTTTGTATTCAGGATTCTCAGTAACTGGTTTTGTAATACTTCCAAGGATATCATCTCCCTGTTCTACTGCTAACCTGATATCCTCCTACAAAACAAAATAAAAGACCCACACACTGTAGTTGTGTGTTGTTGGTTTTTTTTAAGCAGACTTCATAAGGCACCAAACTGGAAAAAGGATTTTGTTTTAATAGCAATAGAGTAAGCACAATTTGATTAAAAGCAGCGTTTGACAACAAGTACAGACAATAAATGCTAAATGTCAGCTTTTTCTAAGATCACCATCTCAAGATCCCAGTGTAATTGAGTTGAATTTTCATGATAGATAGCCTTCTACTGTCTCCCTAGGTTACAAATCTCTCAAAAGTTTTAGCTGCACAGTTTTGAAACCCCCAAATATTTTTCATTTAAGCTGATTTGAAAGAACATTTGTCCATTCTTCAAAGGGTCATATGTTTTCTTATGCATGCAAATACAATCAAATTTCTTGTTGCAAACAAAGCTACAAATGAAACACACCACTTACAAAGGAATTTCTGTTTCCACATGCAAATCATCATGCATTTATACATATGTAAACTTAACCTCAAGAAATGTCATTTTTGAATGCAAAAAGGACTTTTAACATCAAATCAAGCTAAACAAGTTCAATAGAATTTCAATGCTTCGTGTTATTATTGTCTATTAACATCCTCCAGATTTTCTATTAACATTATTAGTTGTAAATTAAAACACAATTTAACTAGAAGACAGCATCTTTACAAAAATTACATACCTTCATTTTGTCCTTCTTTTCTGTGTGTGTTGCAAGAAGGGAGCTGGTTGATTGCACATCATTTGGTAGTTCTGTTTCAGCCAGCTCAGTCCCAAAGGACTGAAGAATCTGAGCTGTTTGCTTAACCTTTTGGGCGAAACCTTCTATAGCCTTTTGGAATAAAAACCATTAATGATGTTTCATTGTCATCACATGCATATGTACAAACAGACACATACACGCAAAATATAGCTGACAAAACAAACCCAAGCAGATGAATTACGAGACTGAAAAATGGTCAAAATATAATTTTGCAAGCAACAGATACCGTCACCATTAATTCCTTATTTGTATGTGTTTCCTAGGCTTGTATCAAGTATATCTTCCTCATATTTTTATAATCTGGAGTTATTCTACAACTTGAGCTTTTTCTTTCTCGTAGCAAACACAATAAACCTCAACACAATAATAGACTGTAGTTCCTTTGCTCCAAGTGTTCAGAAAACCACTCCCAAATTATTACTCATTTTTTTTCTCTGAGATGACTAAGTACCATTGGGAACATCTTCTCACTCCGAGCAAGTCAACTTGCATCACTTGGAATCTATTTTATAAATGACAGGGTATAAAACAGAAGGGTTCGTTAAGCTGAAAAGTTAAAACAAAAATTTAGACTTACAGTGCGATGGGACAGCCATCTGTTATGGCAGTAATCCAGGGTGCCACCAAGATCTTCTGTTAATTGTGTTTTATCAATGTAACCTTGCAGTTCTGATACTGAGCCCAGCATTATGATCTGCAGCAGCAAAGAAGTGAATGCAAACAGTGGCAAAAGTCCGTTATTAAGGATTCTAAGCCCCATCCTTCAGTTTCCGATAGAGAAATTTCAGTTTAATACAGAAGTAAGTGATGGAACTATTTCCTTTGGGTATAGAATAAACAAACTTAACAGTTGTTTCAGCTGAAGATGATGTAAATTTAAACAACAACAAATGAGCATGAGCACCATACTTAACAGTGTGTATTAAAATAACGCTTAAGAATTATATAACAGAAATTACTCCATTGGGGTCTTTTATCTTGATAAACCATACATGGCTATTTTCTAAGAGGAACCTTTAATTCAAGATTCCAGAACAACCTTTAAGCAGGTTTTTTTTTTTGCTGGTATTTTTTGTGCGGGTTTTTTTGGGGGGGGGTGGTCCTCACTGGCTTGATTAAGTACTTGGAACAGATCTCTGATAATAAAGTGAAAACAGAGAATTACTTACAGGTACTTTCATTTTAAACTCATCTTTGTTGAACTTGAAAGCAATATCCGAGAGAGCTCGATGAAAAAGTCCTGCTGGGCGCAGAACGAGGACTAGCTGCAGGTTTCCTGGGAAAGATGCCTGCAAAACAAGTTTAGTCTGTTATTTTCTGTGTTTCAGCTCCAGAAAATATTTTTGAACAAGGAGAACCCTCTGTTAAACCACAAACTAACTGTATCAAAAGCCTCCCATAATGGGGTGACCAATTATAAACCTAGAAAGGCTTGCACAGAGAGCTTCATTCAGAGACATTTACTCATCTTTGGGAACAGAAGTCTATTGTCCTGGAATAGAAGTTGTCAGGGTTGGCTTGTACTGCTCTTCAGCTAAGATAACATCCTAGCCAGGGAGGCTAATGAACAAACCGTGGTGGCTTCATACTTTTTCAACAGCAGTACTTTCATGGTTACCTTATCTTCTCTTTAACAGAGGGTGACAAGAGAAACCTCCAGTATTGTCTGAACACCTAACAACACATTTCTAGTCTGCACATATACTACCTTGACAGTTGCCTACACAAACTATTGCCATCGAGACTGGATTTCTCAGGCAATAGCATAGAAATAAGATTTAATTTTGCAAACAAAAATAAAAATCAAACATAATAATTCTCAGCTATGTTTTTTCTCATCGTATTCCAACTATTAGCCTGATGGATCTTTCCCAGTTCTACAAGTGACAGAGGGAAAACAGAAGAGAGGAGAAGGAAAACAAAGAAATAGCATTAAATTACTAAAAATCAACCTCTGCTGTGGCAGAGGTTTGCACATTTGGCATTTAGCCATTCTTGAAATCATGCAAGTCTTCTCCCCTATTCAGTATTTCCACTGTAGGGAGGTGGTGAAGTTCACTAAAGAAATGATCATTATAATGATTAAGTATGCAATTTTCTTCATTATGCTGGTGGAAATGTCACATTTCTAGTAAATTGAATTACTAAAAAAAAAAAAAAAAAGCCAACTAAAAAACAAACAAATGCTGACTGAAGGAGCTGTTATGCTATGCTGTGTTCCAACGCCTGATGAAACTGTTAGTATCCGGAAGGTTGGAGAATGGTTTAACATTCATTTTAAGGTCTCCAAGGGTTGCAGGTATTTAGCATTGGAAATGACAAACTTTTTAAAAAGAGAAAACTAGCTAAAACCTTCTCTGGAAGACGTCATGGACTCATCATGGTTCCCCAGATAGTGTACAACTGAGATCTCCAATGGATTGAGGAACCTTAAAAAGACTTGAGCTTCAAAATCTGCCTCCACTTCAGTGATGTCCAAATTTTCTAGAAAGCATGGTGGTTCAGTCCTAAAGGGTCTGGACGTTTTCAAGACATGACTGGACAGGGTGCTAGACAATCTCATTGAGGCTCCCTTTCCCACAAAAGGTTGGACCACATGGTCTTTCAAGGTGTCTTTCAACCTGGGCTGTTCTATGATTCTATGGTACTGAAACTATTACTGAAGAAAACAGAAGTAGCCCAAATGCGATGTAATAGTAAAGTTTTCTAAATTGTGTATTAGCTTTTATGAGAAACAGAGCTTAACTGCATGACTAAATTAAGTAGGGTCTCTCATTAATGTTCGATTCAAAGAAAACAAACAGAATACACATTATAATTATTCTCCATCTCAGTGTGTTTAGCCAAAACAATTCTGTTGAAATCACTACAGTCTTGTACCACCTAGATTAACTCCCATTCAAATCTTGCCAGAAGTTTCCCCTCTCTCTCAGCAAAAAAGCTCAAATTCTAGATTACTGCAATTTACCTACAACACTGTTCTTGTCTCCTCTAGTTTGTATCCTATACTTTCTGTTTGGTTTTGTTTTTCAAAAAAACCCTGAGTCTTACTGATGCCTTCTCTGCCTGTCGTGGCTAGGAATCAAATCTGCAAACTGACCATTGTGAAACAACAACAACAGAAAAAGGGAGGATTGCTATGTTGGACAATGTAAACAATGTTGGACCCACGCCAGCTATTCCAGTTTATCTATCTTATACCTTCACTGCCCAAACATTAATATTTTCCTAATTTTTTTTTTCTAAAGCCCTAGTGACTTGCAGAGACAATGATATGATGCAAGAGACACTCCTCAGATGCGTTTGAACTTCATAAGACAGTCAACTTCACCCTGAATACAAGAACAAAAACCCCCCCAAAAATCCCGCCCCCTCCATTCCAGTCCAGGAGCATATTTGTTTGAAGCCATTTTATGCTAAGCAGACAGAGCAAACAATTTCTCAACAATGCTGTACCAAGTGTTAAGCACAAAAATGAATATTCATGTACATTTAGCAGTGTCACAAAATAAAGTGCCTTCAAGGACTGTTTTAGTGAAGTCACTGAACACCACTGTGGCTTGAGGAAGGGTTTGTGTTCTTGTAAACTGTTCTTTCCAAAAGTGTCTTTCTTTATGCTATTAATTGATATTAATAATATTAATAATACTAACTGCTCCCCCCATATATTGTCTTAAATATTGCACTTAAACTCATTTAACACTATGAAAGAGAGACTGGGGGGAAAAAAAAAAACCCACTTGTCACATTTTTGGTACCCCGCACGAAAATTAGGGTAGCCTCTGTTCTAGGCTATTCTATTCTAGCCCAACCCATATATTCCTTAGTCTCACCTGCATCAGCACTGAGACTTATTTAATACTTCATGACACTCATGCGATTAGTTTTCTATCTGCTGATCTCCTGTGCTTCCCCATCCAACCGGACAAGTGCCAATTCCAAAGATACAGAAGAAGATGTAGATGTGCATGTAGTTACTAGCTTTGAAATAAACCTAACCAAACCAAGAATTTATATACAGCACAGCCCTTAAAACGAAGCCTTCTAATATATGGAGATGTTTGCTACCCTATGAGTACTCCAAACCTGGAACGTGGGAAGAACCTTCACTGGCTGGACAAAACAGGAGCTACCTTAAATACTGCAGGAGAAGAGTTAATAAATACTCAGGAGCAGGCTGATCTGCCTGCTTTCAGGCCTCCTCTTCTCAGGGATGGGGAGCTTTCCACAGCATGCTCCAGCCCTCCAGAAAGGGAGAACTTACTGAGACTGAACCCAACTGAGTTTTGGGCAAAATGTAAAATTCAATTAGTTGCACATAATCTTAATTATTGCTTTCCTTCACAGAATATAAATGACAGAAAGGCACCAATACCGACCCTGAAGTTAAGCAGCTGCTAACACGGGGAGGTAAGGAGACGCAGGCCACCTCACCAACGAGGATAACATGGTGCTGAATGGCTGGTATGGAACTGCAAAAACCGAGCAGGGAACAACCCCCAGGAAACAACCCCCACCTCCTGCTGGAAAGGAGTGGTGGCAGCTTATTTATGGGGAAGGAAAGGCAGTGTTTCCTCGAAGACAGGTACTGAGGTTCTTCCTATCTTTGGTTTCCATTGTGTAATGTTGTCTTGCTCTCTTGGTGCCAGTGGGGAGCTATTTAAGCCACTCAACAATTTTACCTGCACCAGCCAGGCAGAGCAGCAATCCCACGCGCTCCTGCCTGACAGCAACTGTAAACAGCACATTATGTGCTATAGGCTATTGGGCAGATGGCATTATCAAAGGGGGACTAAGTCTCATTAAATCACATACTTTAGAATAGTCACGATACTCATTGCGACAGGATGCCGTGCTGCCAGGCTGCGCTCCCTGGAAGAGGCAGTGCAGAAGCAGAGCTGTGGCCAGGGTCTACAACCAGAAGCCAGTCACTACAGCTTTCAGCAGTGAGTACCCAAAGCTGAGCTTTTGGAAACGAAAACCAACACCTTTGAGTTTTCATATCTCAGGCTTCCTCCTGAGGCTTATTTAGTATACAAAGGAATTATGTAGATAGGTACGTATACCTTCTAGACAGAGATGCACTTATAATAAAGTTGCAGTCTGGTGTTCAATCCCACAGAGCAATTCACTCGGCTGCCCTGGTGCTCAGAAGTCTTTCATACTCCTACACAGCGAAGGAAAGCTGTTCTGATAAACAGTAAACCTACAACCCTTTTTCTTCTGTTTCCCAGGTAAACAGCCAGCTTTCAGAAATATCTGAACCATGTGAGACATCAAAGATCTAACGCTTGACTCGGTTTTAGTAGTTCTGTCTTAAAATACTTGGAACAAGACTATTTTTCATTTTATGAAGAGCTTCAATATACCCACATTACCAAACTTCATGGTGGTGTTTTCCCTTCTGCACTTACTAGTATGCCATAAGCCACAGGGCACTTCTTTCCAAAATACCTCTGTATATAAAGGAGCTAATAAGTACTTTTTTTTTTTTTTTGCAAGACTGTTTATTCCAGGCTAGAATGAAGTCTCTTATACAGGCTTCTTGTCAAGAAAGAATCTTGAATTGAATCAATTCATAAAAGGAGCAGTTTGAAATCTAGTTTTAAAAACATTGAGCTGTTTTGTGTTAGATCAGAGTTTAATGCTTGTGACGTTACGATCCTCTTTTCAGAATTTAAGTGATTCACTTCTTTCTTTTAATGTATAAAAAACCCCCATGTAATAAAAAGGAAAAATGGCTGACTGTACAGGGATAACTGTGAAAGTGCCTGCACACATAATATTCGCAAAACATCCAAAGCAATAAAACAAAACTGTACAGCATCTCAAAATAACCTTTTTAGTTTATAATTTACTGGAATAATTTATAACAATAGCTACAAAATTAATACAAATACTATTCTAGTTTCATCATGCTGCCAAGTATTTGGTCTTGTTTTGATGCAAGCAAAAATTAGAAATATCACTAGAGGCTGAAAGAGCAGCAGTTTTTTCAAACTTAACCCATGAGTTGTTAAGTGTCATTACAGTATTCAGGACATGACACAAAGAGCTAGCTAGAAGCTGGACTAGTGGGAAATACCTATCCAGAACATACAATAGTGCCTTTCATGACCACAGAGCATCGGTTATGAAATGCATCTTTCCTCCATCAACAACCCACTAAGAAACTCAACCTCTCTCTACAAACAAGGCCAAAGAACTCAAGGTCGGATTACTGTAATTTACTGTTTCTCACCTTGGATGTAAAACCAACGATAAGACTCCAGATGGCACAAAAATGGGACTGCCTGTCTCCTGCAAGGTTTAGGCTGGTATTAGCACTCCAGACTCGCCATGGGCTTTTGGTCTCCTCTTGCCAGCTAAAGGTCTTGGCCCTAATCTTCAAAGCAATTAATGGGCTAAGCCTCTGTTACAGTGAAGACGGCATTTTGATTTATGAAGAGCTAAGAAAAACTGTACCCTGGACAATGCAGTGTGAAATAGAAGGCACGAAACCTGCATGCAATGCATCCCAAGTCAAAGGCGGCAAATCATGAAGCAAGCTTCCCCAGGAGATTGGATAAAACCCAACTCTTGTCACATTTAGAAAGGGTTGCAAAGTTTTGTAACTGGATAAACCTTTCTCACTACCACTTGAGTGACCTCCACACCAACTGCTTTGTCAAGAGCAGTTGCCCACACACGTGTTATTCCCCAAGCACCAAGTTTAAGGAAGTTTATTTTCTCTGGACTTTTAATATGAGGCTGATGGATGGCTATGAGTGAAACTTTTCACGATGTTGAGTGCAGGTTTTTGTTTGTCTAAAAGGCTGGGTTCACACTTCAATCTTTCCCTCAAGACGGAGGAAGACAATGATGACAGGATAACAGAGACAATGTAATGACATAGGCTTCATTTTTTTAAGAAAACACACTGAACTATGAACAGAGCAGTGTGATACCCCAGAACACATTAATCAGTAATATGCCTTGCTCCTACAACTGTGGACTGAATATTGCGTGTTTGGGTATGATAACACCAGGAGAGAGTCAAAAAAAAAAAAAAAAAAAAAAGTCATTTTTGACTACATGGAAAGGAAAAGGGGATCAATTTTTCTGGTGTTTGTCATTCACCTGACTTCAGCTGGGACAATATGGAGCCATTTTACCAAGCTATGCGACTGCTCCTCCTTGCACCCTCATTCAGGCACCATGCCTTATGTCCGTAAGCCTACCTACCTGCTCAGCCACAGGAGCTAAGAAGTTCAGTAAGGTCTGTGTGTCTCTGTATACCATGTTTAATACCATGTTTAACCGAAAACAGGACATTATAATACAAATTTAGAAGAATCTCAGCAGCTGACAGGGCAAAAACATAAGAATTTTTGTATCTTCAAAAAACAATGTAATAAGAACAAACAATTTGCGACAGCTGACTCTGATATTTTTCTTGTAATGTCTTTCAGTTTTCTACAGCCTCTCTAGGAAGATGACAACTTAGAGCCAAGACTTCACACTTAACATAAATCTTGGCTTTTGGCATCTCTACCAGAACTCCACCTCTCAGCCTGACTATCCCATTAGGCCAGATTCTTCCTAGAGACTCAACTGTAGGGATGAATTCTGTTCAACTTACAGCCATCTAAAAGCTAAGCTTTCTATACAATGAATAGTATCTCTAGGTTATCCATCCCACCTATCTCAGATAGAATGAGTCACACTCCAACACATGCCACTGACTGCACTAGGCTAATAACTTCACCTTAGCTAAATCAGGGGAAAATAAACAAATAATCTTGTTTGCAGTGTCTCTTAAGCCACAGTCTCTTGCAGTCTTGCACTGGCTAAGAACCACCTCTTGGGCCACCCGCCCATTGCAACTTTGTCAAGTAGAGTGTAACAATAGCAAATTCTGCATTGCCTGGGCATATGCTTGCCACAGTCTCTCTATCACATCCCAGGAAAAGAGGGGCCATCTTTCATCCCAGTGCCTCTGGCTTTGGTTTCAGTTCTGCTGTCACTATGCGTGCTTCAGCGGCAGTCATCCTGGGTGAATGGTGCAGCCACTACCCTTCCACTATGTCTGCAAAAACAGGTTTACCTTGTCTTCACAACCTTGACTCTCTATAGTGACCCTAAAGTACCAGCATGAAATATAAAGATTCAGCTCATCGTTGCTCATTTTCTGCCCCAGGAAAGAAAATGATCCCTAATAACAAAGAAGGAAAAATGAAGCCTAGAAATTTTTCATAATATAGAAAGATTTTTCCACGTTGATTTCAGCCTGAAACAAAAGTTCTTTCTTCATTAGTTTTGTTTCAAAACATACTTCTAACACCTACCAGTACAAACCAAACGTTTGTGTGTGAAGTGTCTTGGAAATAATATAAAATAATAATTATTTAAAAAATTACATGTTAGTATGAGTTTCTGGCTAGCATCTGCTGTGTGCTTACAAACATATTTCCTACAGTTGTCGGGATATTAGTGATGGGCAGATGCTCCAGCCAGGATATTCCTGTTGGGCAGTGCTCCAGCCACAGCACCTTGTGCTGGCATCTCTGATTTCACAAATCAAAAGGCTCACCCCCTTGGGCGATTAGACAAAAATTGGGCAAGATGCCTGGGAAGATGCTGCAGGACCCAATACAAATGAGCCAACAGCCAAAACTCTCTTCTCAAATAAAATGAGACTCATATCCTCACACATGGCAATAAGCTTAAGCAATCAAAACTGCTAGAGGTACCAGGCTTTCAGACATAAGGTTCAATCTAGACAGCCCAAATGACACTCAGTTGCTTGGTCACCATCAAAAGACAACTCTGACAGTTAGGAAAACCAAAGTAGTGGAAGTTAAGCCTCTAGTTACCCTTGAGCTATTTAAAAACCTTTGTCCATCAGCAGGACACAGAGAAATCCTTGTGACTTTGGTGCAAGATATGTATCATGTATACTTGGCTTTGTTTTTTTTTTTTTTTTTTTAAGTAACAGACAGCAGAAACCTATTTAGAATTTACTTATGGCAAATATAGTAAAGAAATGGTGGAGATGGTAAACAAGGATTTGTCACTACATGTTTTTTTGGAGTGGGAAGGTAAAATTTTCAAGTGTTCAGGGATGATGTGACTATTGCAGAAGCCCAAGAGAAGTACCGCCACACACATCCACAGACACAATATAAAGCCAACACTGAGCCAGTTCAGTACCTGAAAGAAACAGGTATTAAAAAAAGAAAAGATCATGCCTCTAACAGATTAGATTTCAGATAGGAAGCATGATTTCTCTTTTAAATAAAGCACACAGAAGAATGATAAAAGAAGAAAAAAGAAAAATAACCCACCATCAAAAGCACTGCAACCCATAGAGCTCGCTGCACTTAACACCCTTCTCCAAGCAAAGCCTTTAGGACCATCACTATGATGATGGATCCCGTATCACAGGGAACAGACACTCAGGTTCTGTGTATTGTGCTTCTAGGCAAAATAACACACACTGGAGGAATGTTACCATAAACAGTAATATTATGGCTATAAGCAACATGCCTGTAGTTGCCCCCCACTCCCTACCACCTCAATTACGTAAATAAAAGGACTGTCATATGTGGAGTGCTTATCTGTCTTTAAACAGAAACTACAGCACTGAATTTTGAAAGAGATTCAAAAACTTCAGATACACAGCCCTTTTTCTTTAATCACCCAAAATTGTGCTGCTCTCAGTTTCCACCATGGGAATCTGTTCAATGCTGCATCTCAAAATTTCGAAGTAAGCTGCAAAAGCAAGTTTTGCTAATAGTTCTGTGTATTTTTAATATTTTAACATTGCTAAACATACTCATTGTGGAAAAAGTTGTATTGTGGGAATATTATATCATTATATATTCATTCACAAAAAGTCATATAGTAGGAGTGACACATTACCTTTAAATAAAAAACATTTAATTTACAATTAAAAAAAAACAGTTCTTTGGACAAAATAGGGATACACAAAAATGACATTTACTGTTTTGATTTGACTTTTATTTTACAGAGCTTAAAATTTTCAGCCATGAAAAAATAAAGAAAATATGCTTACAGCTCTGTTTTTCACCACTTACTGGAAAGATTATCAACACTAACAATTCAAGCAAGGATTAAAAAAACCCCGAAAGTAAACAAACAGTATGGTAAGCACATGATAAACATGAATCTGTCTTTTGCTACCTGTGTAGAAAAAAAAAAAGAAAAAAGCCTCTAATAATCTTAGCTTTCACATTTTAAAAAAATATTAATTAAAAAGGAGACTGAAAGTCACCACATGTGCTGTTGATTCATTAGAGTAGGTATGCAAGATTTTCTTGCTTACAAGCAACCTTTGTTTTATTTCAAACACCACAAGATCAGCTTTTACACCTGAATTCCTTTCACAAGTGGTAAACTAAATCAGGACCCTCATCCTCAACTCTTCCTAAAAAGGAAGTTCACTTGAGTAGTGGACCCACGGCTCTATGAGAGGCACAGGCTGCCCGTGCAAATGGTAGTTCCCACTTTGAGACCTGCATGCCACACACACGTGCGGGCACACACGCTCTCCCAGCGCCTTCTCAGGCTGAGGTCCCGAGCTGCAAACTGCATTAAAAGCACATCATAGACACATGATGCTCAGTCCCAGTCAGGTGGGATACAAAAGCACTGCTAGATACTGTGTGTCATATATCAGCTAACATTTTGTTGAAGAAATAAAGTCATTGCTGCTTTTCTACTCATAAGAGGAAGGTTCAACATGGAAAATCTTTCTAAGGAGTTAATATAAAACAGTACTCACTGCTATCCGCAGTATAGAAGCTTTCACAGAGGTCCATTTGTCCTGTCTGCGATCTATGACAAGAATAAATCCAATTCCAGCATCTTGTAAACTAAGTTCGGAGGAGGAAAGAAGAAAAAGAGAAACTTTGGTTAAAAATACAAATGAAACTCCTCTGGTTCTCTCACTAAAATAAGCAGTTAAAAACTAGTTTAAGAAAAGCAGTTTGACCTTTTTGTGCAGAATCTTCTTTATTTGAGATGTTTAGATGCAGGCATACTATACTACACAGATGCCACAGTCCCAAGTATGTTCCACAGAGCTTCAAAACATATTCAAATAATTAATTCTTCTTTTTCACGAGAGAGAGTTTTTACATTTCCTTGTACTGCGATTATTTCAGAGGAAAATAAACCCCTTTGATTCTCCGTTGTTTTGGTGTGGATATAATCCCTCCTTCATGCTGTTTTCAGTATAATTTCAGGATCAAAACAAAGTTGTTTTCCTTTTGCATCTGCTTTTAACCTTCTGTTTGAATTGTCTTCCTCCTCACTGATATTTCAAACTCCTTAAAAACACAGATCCTTCTGATCATTCCATGATACTGCTCCGCGCATCTGTAATTCTCACATGCCTCCAGGTTGCAAACTTGTTCCCAGGTGCATTTTTACATTCACCGAAGCAAAACAAAACAAAAATCCCGATGGCATTTAAACACTCCAAATCACAGATGAGAAAAATGAGATCAGACGCGCTTCTCCGGAATGGAAACATCTGTGAGAGAGATCCCGCTCCAATCCTTGCGTACGGGTGACCTTTCTGTTCCGCCTGTGCTCAGCTGCATGTGCTACGGAGTCCCAGTCGAGGGATCTGCTCCTGTTTTGTAATTCCCCATCCAAGCCAATTGTGCAGTGCCAGCAGCAGCCCTTGCCAGCCAATCGCAATCAAAATGGAAACGACAGGCAAATACAAGGCAGACGGGCTCGGATTCGTTATTTTCTCATATAGTGGGTCATTTTTAATAGATATGCTGTATTTTCAGTCGGGATAGTAATTTACTGCAAGGCCTACTCCCTGCACTGTGTGACATTTAGAAATACTGTACGTCAATTTGTTATCGTCATACCTTAAAAGACAATATAGAAATCAACGCAACAGAATGTTAGGAACCCTTATTCAAGACTGCTGAATCATGAAAACACCAGCTTTGCTTTATAAGATTATGTTGGTAGCATAATAATAAGAGGATATTGAGGAGGCCAAAGAACATAGGTACCTAGACGTGTTATTTTAAGCTACTGTTCAAAATTACAAATTTAAACATGACTCACACTCTATCCCTTCTCTTTTACAAACTGTAATATCTCTCAAATTTACAGACTAAATATTTAGAGCGAAACATGAATAATCATAAAAAATGCAAAGGAACACTTGCTTGCTTTCAAAAGAAGCTAAGCTGTCATTTTAACATCAGAGGATATTGGAAATGACCCCTCACTGCCCAGATTCAGCATACGTTACTTAACTCTTGCCTCTGGGTTAGGACAACACTGATAAACAACATCTGAGTACTTGCCTCGTAAGCCTGAATAACCCTTGCAGACAAACAGGGCTTTATATTAGCAATATGCTTCCCACTACAGTGATTTCTGTACAGTAAATCTCCGTGATTTACTAAAGCTTCGCCTCTTCCTTCTCTTTCTCTATTTGAAGGGCAAGAGGAGGAGAGAGATACAGATTGATTTTAGCATCTTCCTGTTCTCCACTGAAGTCCCCACCATTCTAATCTTTAGTCACTGAGCAAAGTAAAAATGCTAAGAGCAACCATGTTCCACAATAATCAAGTAGCAAAACAAACTCCCTGGGTCACACAGCCTAAAAACGGATGAATGGAGTCAAAGACGTGCTACAGCTGTTCCCACAGCAGTTCATGTGGATTTTGAAGAGTATTAAGACTCTTGAAGAGCTATTTCCCCTGCTCAGTAGAAGTCCCCAGGAATCTTGAAATTTCTGCATACTTCCTCCACAGAGGTATAATCTCAGATCCCACAGAGTATCTAAATGCAACATCTGTATCATTTTTCAAGAAACTATTGACATTTCTATGTAACAGGAATAAAATTAAAGCCCCTGACAGAGCATCAATCAGATTTCTCTGGAAGAGCATAGGGAAGGACAGGCTCAGCTGGGATCCCAGAGAAGATCTAGATGGCACCTCCACACGGTTGATCAGCTGCCTCAACACCTGGCAATAAGCAGAGCTTAATATAATTGTCCTAGAAAAAACAACAAGGCTTATTAAGTGGAAGAGTTGACAAAGCAAAGCACACCTCTAAGCCCAAAAGATCTCTTTAGCCAGCCTTCTTTTTCCAACGGATCAAACACGTTGGCTGGTTGCACGATTCATAATGCGTCCCCCTTCCAGGCTCAGATGTAAAAGCCAAGATTCCCCACTGCTGGCTAGAAGAGACCCAGGGGCAAAGTCTTGAGCACCTGACTTCAAACATTAACACTCCATTAACATAGATTGCTTATAAAAACAATTAAATGCTCTGTTCTGAACTGATCCTGGTGGAAAAAGTATTTGTTATCTTGACAACAGTGTCTTGTTGCAAAGGGCTGGCGATCGAGTCTGGGATCCAGCTCCAGCAAGTTGCAGGCAGGAAGCAACAAACCAAACTAAGACATTGTGTACAACAAAATTGAGAACATTATGAAGACAACAAAGTCACGTATTCAAGAAAAGTAAATATTGGAAACAGGTCTGTTTGCCAGTGCACCCTTGCTCTGCTGACCTCTCTTTCCTGCCACGCACACCTGCATATGTAGTTACATGACAGTTTGCAAGACCTCCATCTCTTTTAGGGCATGGGATGAATGGTGCTCTTGTAACAAGCAGATACTCAATTTTCCTTTGGCTCCTGATTTAACTGAGTGCCAGCTATCCCTCTTTCTTTTATTTATTACATTCTATCCAAATATTGGTTCTCCCTCGCCCCTGCCCCAATTTTCTTGAGAGTAAAGCATTTTGGCTTCTGCTCTGTGTCCCCACAGAAGCATGCTCTGATGGACACAGCCTGTCCTGCCCATTCAAGCTTTACCTGCTGCCTTACTCCAGTTGCATTGCACTCATCAGTTTAGCCCAGGTCTTCTCATGCCTCTGTATCCCTCTCCAATAAACTTGTCACCACCACCCACATTTGTCTCTCCCATTCATCACTTCAACTATTCTCATTCCTTGCTGCCTTGCCCCAAAAACAGCTCAAAAATCTTGGTGCTTTATTTTTTTTTATTTTATACTGTCAGGACAAATGGCCAAATCAGCTCTCATCCCACCCCTTCCCAAATGTCGCAGTCCCCTCACCTCCAACTCGAGTCTCCCTTATCGAGTCTCCCTACGTCCTGCTCAGTCTTTCAGTATCTTCCCTCCAGCAGGCACTTCCCTTGACTGTGGTCCTGCCTGTTGTCAGGCAGCTTGCCTGCACTGCCTGCTTGTCAACAGGCGGCACTCGCATCCCATGAGACAGTCTTCCCGCGCTCAGCCCTGGTAGGAAACCTGGCTCTAGGGTAGCTCATTCTGCAACCACAGAGAAGCTCCTGCTCAGCCCCAGAATGAAGTGGGACATTTTTGACAACAGACTTGAGTAGCTACTGAACATCTGTGACCTGGGATTTAGGCACATTTTTCTCAAGGTATTTCCTTGACACAAAGGCCATCATTCTTATAAGTGTCAAGTCCTTGACCAAGGGACAGAGACACTTGAGCTTCTCAAACAAAAGGCTGTTTCAATGTTTGAAAAGCATAATGTATTTGTTCCCTGGCTTCCTGGCAACAACGCAGCTATTTTGGCTGAACTTTAGACCAAAAACTCAGGTGAGACCTCAGGAATGGAAATAAAATTTGGCAGAGTTGTAAATGACTGAAAACCAACCTTTACAGTGAGAAACAGCAGACAACCTTAGCAAGCACCTGCCTATTAAGGCTTTTTGACATTTCCCTTACAACCTCTGCTTTCTTTAATGCATTAACTTGTATCCGGTGTACTTTCTGAAACATAATTTATATAAGCTTGTAATTCAAATTTAGTATTTCCTTCCTTTGTTTCCCCCCCAACACACAGACACACACACAAAAAAAGCCATCATGAGATAAGCTCTGTTCTTCTGTTTATTCATCAGCACAAAGAACAGAACATTTTTAGAAAGGCAGAGAAACCATCCCTACTCTGCAGGAAATATGTCCAGCAAACACACAAAGGCCAGGTCAGAAAGGTAGAAAGCAGGGCAAGGGGTGCAGGGGCCACAGAGGACAGATAATCAGAGAAAATGCAGTTGAGGGTAGATTTTTTGCTCAGTCCCCTCCCTCTGTCTTGGGGAGCAAGTGTTACACCATTTGGAGAAGGTGAGAGTGTGAGGTTGAAGCACCTGCCCAACAAGCACTGAGTTCTCTGCGTAGACTGTAGAGCAGGAACTGAACTTTCCACTTAGTGACTCCTCAGCTTTAGATTATGGGGACATCTCCCTCTGTCTTGTTTGTAAGACTTATGAGCTCATGCACCTGGGGGAAAGGGTGGGAAAGCTTATAGTACATAGGACTGCAGAAAGAAACTTCCCTCTGGGGTGTGTGGAAGCAATTACATAGTCATCATCTGAAAGATCCTTGCATTTCTCCAAGGTATGGGTGGTGACAACTCCTACACAAATAAGTTCCTATTGCTTCTACACTGCTGTATGAAAACTGCTTGTATACATTGCTCTCTACTAAAAACAAAGCAAATCTTCAGGTTCATCACAGCAACTTGATAATATGAAGCTTCCGGATGTTTGAAATTCTGGGCAGCATTTTAGGTTAAATAATTACAGTTTAATAAAAGTGAATTTCAGTCTTAAAGCCTTCTTATCAAACAGTTGCCTTACGTTACACTCAGGATTGTTTCCTACCTTGATGACTTCTGCCTATACATACAAACTGACTAGAAAGTCTTGCTTTCAATGACTGAACAGCTATTTTGATAGTAGGACATCATTAATATTCAGTGAGGAATTACTGCACTGAGCAGAGCATCAAGGCAATGCAACGCCTGCAGCATTCTGGATTATAATCAGCTGAAG